CCGCCCCTCTGCCTGCGGGATGCTGAGCCGCCCTGTGGCGTCGGCGGCGCCCGTGACCGGCGGCGGGAACGTACTGCGGCCCTAGAAATATCTCTTGGGGCGGGGTGGGGGGAGCGGGGAACGTGCAAAGTATTTTTAATCTTAGTCGTTTCAAACAAATCACCTTCCTGGGAGGGATGAGGGAGAGGAGTTAAGGGTCATCTCCTTCCTTAAACCTACCTCATGAGGGCTTGCAGCCAGGCAAAAGGTGACTTGATGGGTGGCTCTCTCTGCGGGCTTGGCAAAGCGTGCAGCTCTTTTGTGAATAGTCCTTTGTGGTAGTGCTCTTCTGCTTCAAACAATGAATCTTAAATCCCACAGGAAAAGAAAAATGTGAGCTGGTAAAGTCTGCATGCAAGCACAAAAGGCACATAGAAGACATGTTGCTGTAGGTGTGGTAGCATTGGAAAAAACGCCAGCCTCACATCATGCGTATGCCCCCAGCTTGAGATCCTGGACAGTCACAAATAGCCACAGCTGGGGCTTGGGACTTGTGTGGAGAGAGTACCTCCAAGTACCTCCACTAAGAGACGGCCCCTTAATGTTGGGGTGCTGCCTAGGTCAAGGCTGTTGTACTGGAAGGCGTGCTACCCACTGAGCAATCGTCAGCACTGCTAAAATACCAAAACCCTTGCAAGGTCTCTAATCCAGGGGCTGACCAGGGATGACTAATGCGTTGCATATGCTGATGGCAATTGTATCTTGGCTCCACTTGCACTTAGTTTGAAATACAAGAGCTAATTTGAGGTGATTAACACAGTGAAAACAAACAAAATCGAGGTACCTTCTTATGAAGACAGTAGTTTCTTATCTTAATTACTATTGTCTTACTGGTGCATTTGTTTTAAAAGATGGAGAATTTCCACGATGACTTGATATCAAGGTATGAATAAAAGTGATACTCAGAGTTTAAGTAAAACCTAGAACACAATAAAAAGTCTTTCTTAAACATGAATTTAATTTTGTTTTCTGGGAGTTTTCACAATGCGTTTTGTGTGTGTGAGAATGATTGTGCTATTTTCTTTCAGGAAGTCTAGATGCTACTGTTTTGTTCTTTTGCTAGCTCTCAGAGTAACAGTATGCTGCGGAGACTTCTTTCATTTCCACCATTTGGAGGGCAGATATTCACACAAACTTGCAAAAGATTTATGAGGAGGGATAATGTATGACAGGTGAATAGAAATTTTTCTGGGTAAGTTGTTTGGGTGGAGCAGTGGAAAGTGTGAGCAGAACGGAGTGGAAGGAATGGGGTCAACCAAATCTTGCTGTTGCTCTGAAAAGTAGGGATAAAAGCATGTTTTCTAGAACTGTTTTGTTTTTTGTTTTTCTTTTTTCTGCTCCCTGCCCCCAGAAAGGGAAGGCAGAAAGCAGAATAATTCCTGAACTGTTTCTTTTCAAGAGTAGGTAGAGTGAAGGAGGCATAATTGTGGTGCATGAGAGCTGGGTAGTGCAGGTGAGAAGTGATGTAAAAGATTCGTTGCTTGTGACACAGGTGCCGTGTTTGCCTAATGATGGGTTAGGACATAATAGGCTTATATTTTAAGCACTTGGAACTACTAAATGAAGACAATAAAATAGTCTTCCATCAGAGGAAACCAAAATATTCATGACGTGTCTAGACAATACTTTAGTCAAACAGTTTATGTGTTAAGCATGTTAAGTATCCATTAAACATCAGCTTTTCTTTGGTTTTGCACCAAAAATGGTGGTTGATGTTGAAACTATCTTAATCAAAATACTTAATTTGGCTCCAAACTAGTTCAGTTTCAGTGTTCCTGTGAAATTGGCAAAATTGAATTGATATCTGGGGCTTCTGGTAGGGTGGCTACAGAACAGCTAGTCATCTGTGATGCTTCTTCCTCTTAGGGAGGGTTATGACTGTAGTTACTAGTAGCTCTGTTACATAGAATTAAGAAGAGTTTCAGTTCATAATTTAGAAAATGTTGTGTTCGCATTTAAATTTCAGACTCTGATCTAGTGAGGTTTCCAGTCTAAATAACTTGGAAACTGCATTTCAAAGAGATGGAGAAAATAGTATTACCGATTGCGAGTATGTGAGCAATAGCAAGTACTCTTTTATCTGCAACAATAGGTCATAGTGCTGCTTTTTTATTAGTACAACAATAGAAAAAATGTATCAACTTGTTCATGTCCCATTGAAATGTACTATTTATATATAGTGGTGCTTTAAAACCTACATATTTGTAATTGAGTATTAGCTAGATACTTATAAATACTCAGCATCACTGTTACAAGAGTGACATAATTATGCGCTATGCAAGTCTGTGGCTTGCAGGATCTCTCTCAAGGGCTAATACAGATATTTGCAGGAGAAGAAAACGAGCGAGATGACTGCAGTAAAACTTCTGCTTCCTTGAGCACTTTTTTTTGGCTGCTCACTGTTACATGGGAGGTGACATTACAGAAATGTTTAGGAAATGGTACTTGGAATTGAATTTTTCTTTCTTCTTGAGAGTTTATGGTTTAAGTCTTTTGATTACCTAAAGTTACGTAAGGCGCAAAGGAAAGTATGTTTGAGGTAGGTTGTACGTGGTTTTAAAAAAAAAAGTACGCTTTTTTTCTAGGTAGGCAAAGTAGAACTAACCAGTAAACTATAATGAGAAGATGATAGGACTTTCCATCTTTAAAGCCCTAGAACCTAGCAGAACATACTGCTACTTGTGAAGGCAGGCTTTATACCATTTTATTTGAAGAAACTCTTCTAATCTGAAGTTAAACCATGCATTTGCAACTAAACAGGCTGGCCATGTAAAGTGACAGACTAACATATGCAGTGAATGGAGGTGAAGGAGATGTCTGCTTGTGTGTCAGTTGCCTATAACTCTGCCACAGTGTAGTATGTACACAAAGGTTCTGAAGGCTGAGTTTATTAATTAGTCTTGTTTTTAATTTAGTTTTATAGGGCATGGTATTAATTCATCAGTGTGCAGGAGAGATTTCATAAACGGTTTGTTTAC